TCTTCTTCTTCTTCTTCTACTTCCCCCCCTCTCTCTTTCTTGTCTATGTATGTATATACTCGGTTACGGGAACAGATCTGTTCGACATTATTCATGAACAAGATTGGATTACTCGAGTTGCTTTGTCATTGAGCTACTGGACTTGTGCTGCACGAGCGCTGATGCTCGTGCGTCGTTGTGAACAGTATCTACATGTCCAATCTATGTTATCTCGCCTGGGTTCATTACAGTTTGGTATCGGAGCAAAACTTCTGTAATTCATGCGTGCACGTGCGCGCGCACTGATGAAGACATCTGACGACGACGTTGATGATCGTGACGATCGGGATCTTGATGATGATGTCGTAAATGATCAAGATCACGACCACGATCACAAACGTGATTATGCAGACGACGACGGAGATCATCACGACGGAGAAAACGAGCGTGACAAAGATCATGATCACGTAGGTGATCTGCCGCCAAAGAAGACTATCACAACGATCAAGATCACTATGACCATTGAAGACCCATGCGCGCGCCACTTGGCGCAAGGTAAGTGGGCCCGCGTCTCAGAACGCGTTTTCTAGACGGCTGAGCGTGTGCGCCCGATTGAAAAACGCGCGTGGGGAAAACGACGCGCACCTGCCACGTGGACAGGTAAGTGGGGTTTTGAGTGTCGCGTGCGTTTATAAACGTGATTGTCTAGACACGACACACTCATTCCCCTTGAAGAAGCTGTGCGCGTCGGTACAGAAGATGATGATGATGATGCTTTGAAGACAAAGACGCTCTTGCTGACGTAGCAGAGTTGTATCACATTGGCGAGACCTTGAGCAAGGACCTTGATTGCTGATGTGGCAGGGAGGATACTGACTTCTTGTTGTTTCCCTGTTGACGCGGCTTGATTGAAGTTGTATTTGGGGGCCAGATTGGCTGATGTGGCACCCCCCTCTTGATTGATTGATCACTTGATGCTGACGTGGCAAGTGTTGTGTGCTTGCTGAGTTGGCATTACCGGGGTGTTACGTGATTGGCACGTGTGTGCCTGGGTGGGAGGATAATTCTGACGACAAAGGCGATACAGCTAATTGAATAGTTGTAGTGCCAGTTGTCGCAACAGGGTGATTGTTGCTTTGATCAGGACTGACGCAGGGGATTATTGATGCTAACGCATTGATTGTTGTTGATGTTGGCTTGTTTTCCCTGTGTCGTTTGTTTGTCCTGTGCTGGCATACTCACCTGTGTGTATCTGGTCACTGTGTCCGGATCGGTACCTGCAAAAGCACGTCATCACATTGAGTTAGATAAATAAGAGCAGCGAAGAAAATGAAAAAGAAAAATAATTGAAAATATTTTGCAATTAGTTTTGCTGTGATTGACCTTGCTGTAATCTACTGTCTGGAATCTGTGGGGCCGCGAAATTAATTATTGTTTATTTTTGTTTATTGTGCGGTAGATACCCCACACTGAAATGTCTCAGGAAGAGACTGTTCAGACCCCAGCTGAGGGCCAGAGTGTTGAGCAGCTCCCTGACCCTCGTACCAGAGCTCAGGTTGAGCAGAGACGACAACTGTTGTCTGGACGGCTCAACCTTTTGGCCACTGAACTGCACGATGCTGGTGCAGAGGCTGAGTCACATGTGAGGACCCAGTTTGATCTGCGGAAAGCCCAGGCAGACCTGCATGCAGCTCAAACTGGCACCGACCTATTGAAGATACAGGAGTTCATTATCCAGTGCCGTGAAGCACTGGATGCGCATATCTGTCAGCAGTTCGAAGACATAGCAAATGGCAGAAATGTCAAAAATGATGTGGTGGTCACGGAACAGACGATTGATGAGAACATCCGCCAATTGGAAGAAGCTCTTGAAAAAGAAAAAACGCGCAAGGCGGAAATGCTAAAAAAGAAAGAACAAGATGAACAACAAGCAAAACGAGAACAAGAAGTCAGACAGTATGTGGTAACTGTGTCAGGGGAAAAACAGGTTGTGGCACTGAACCAACTGGTTGAGTACCTTGCTCATTTGGAGACAAGGCTCGACCATTTTGAAGCAAAGTTGGAAGAATTGACCGTAGGATTGAAGAATGTGACTAACTTGGTCAAAGGAAAGGAAAAAGAGGTTTGTAAGAAACTTGTGAAGAAACTAATGGGTGATGCTATGAATCATCTCAGGGTCGAAGTAAAGAAGGGGGAACCATCCGGGCCCTCCTCCACCGACGCCACCATCAGGTCCCTCGTCCAGTCCTCACCTATAAGGAGGAAAGAAAGATAAAGAAGAGAAAAGTGAGAAGCCAAAGAAGAAGGAAAAGGTAAAAATGAAATTGCCTTTCACGTTCAGTAATAAAAAGGATGGAAACTTATTACTG